GAGAGAGAGAGAGAGAGAGAGAGAGAGAGAGAGAGAGAGATGAAATTATTTCATAATAATTAAGCTTTCCTAAGAAAAGTAGGTCAGCTCAGTTGTACTTATGTATTCACTCATTTAGGGTCTTCTGCTTATTGTGTCCTCTTAAGCAAAGAGTATAGCAACTGTTGGATGCTATCAACCACCAGGACACAAAGATTAAGTTTTCAAGTGTTGATGAAAACAGAATAGGAAAAAAGCTACATAAGCAAAGTGACTTCTGAAGACTGGGTTTTCCAAAAGTCATTCGTAAACTTTAAACATCTATGGATTTCTGCTTGTTTCACTGGTGGATTTTGCTTGTATTATGTATGTTTTTATATGATATAAACAGAAGAGTAATATTTATTGATTTGACAAAAGAACTTGAGGACCAACTGTGATTAATAGTAGACTTCAGCCACAATCACAGCTGAAAATGCTTTAGTGTTAAGACCCCGTAGCCTACAGCCTTTCATGAGGTGTGTACACTTATGTAATAGCTTCAAATACTATGTTTCAGAAGGAATCCAGCTGGGACTTTGGCTTGTGTTTCTAGGAATGAAGGCAGTGGGAGATGGTGTCTTTGCTCCTCCTACTTCCTCCTTCCTCACTTCTCTCAGCTCCCTTGTTCTTTTCCCTCTGTCCTTCCTGTGTCTGTCTGTGTGTGCATTCTAAGCTGCATGTGTCGCTGGAGATTGAACACAGGGTCTTCTACATTTGTCCAAAACTACACCCCTAACCTCTGTGTGCTCTTGGCTTTGGTTCAGTATAATTCTACTCATCTAAAGTTATAGCTTGTGGAGTTTCAGACCTCTTAACATTGGTTGAAAATGATTCTTTGACATTCTCCTTAGCTGTGTAAAAGTCAACTTCTGCATTTCCTAGAGTCAAGTCAATTCCTATTCCAAAAAGAGTTTAATGCATTTGTTAGAATTCTCTTAGTGATGTGGCACATGAGCTGTTTAAAAAGCAAATCTTTATCACTTAACGTGTGGTTTTGTATCATTGCTCTACTATTACTTTGAAAAATATGTTTTCAGTTTTATTTTGTGTTTTCTTCATGTATTGTCCAGTCTCTTTGTTTGGGAAGATCAGAGAAAGCTAAACTAGGATTAGAGGTGGGAAATAGGGAAGCCTGGAAGTTGAGATTTAGCTGTTAATCATGTTGGGAAGCAAGAGTACACAGTTAAATTGACTAATATATTAAGCTTTAATATATTTTGAAAAAAAATTATATTACATGTGTGTGTGTGTGTGTGTGTGTGTGTGTGTGTGTGTGTGTTGAATTTCAAATACAGCCTTTTCCTAACACATCCTTCCACTGGATAAAGTAGCTTTTCTAAACATAACAAAAGCTCTTTTCACAGATGACAACTAAGCATCAACCTACTTTGTTTCTCATTTGCACATTTATGTGTATGCATGTGTGCGCGCTTAATGTTACAGGGCACGTGTAGAGAAGTGTGCTGGAGTCAGTGCTCTCCTTCTACCACTTGGGTTCCAGGATCAAACTCAGGTTATCGGGCTTGGTGGTAAGCATCTTTACCTGCTGAGCCACTCTGCCAGCCTGGAACAGAACAAGTGTCATGCCTGCCTGGTGTAACAGTGTCTCTGTGGGAGCATTATTCACAGGTCCATCTTTGGGGATGTCAGAGATTCAGTGTTAGTCTAAACCAAGAAATAAGTA